CAGCAGACAGTTTGGGCAGAATGAATCTGACTAAACTTGATGTTTCCCACTTGTCTGACCAATCAGACTGTTCCTGTTTCTTGACCTATCAGACCACCTCGTCATCAGATCTGAGGAGGGGAAAGCTGCTAAAATAAGACTGAAGTTGTATGAAACCAGAACAGAGCTCGATGAAGCACAATCAAAAGGTTTGGATTTTAAGAAACTTTAGATGGTTTGTGGCGGTGTTGTTTTTCTGCGGCACTGCTCAGACAGCGACACTGTCCCTGTGTGCAGTACAGTGCAAAGACACGCTGTCAGCTGGAGAAAGGTGTCCTGTTCACCCTCTGCCTGCTGGTAATACAAATGCCCACAACCCCATAACACTACTGACGCCAATTAAAAAGACCTGGAGAGAGAGAGAGAGAGAGAGAGAGAGAGAGAGAGAGAGGGAGACTCTCACATTTAGGGCAGGAAAGAGAAAAAAGAGAGAATGGAGAACAAACAGAGGTGCAGAGAGTCCTACCGTTACAGTGATTAGAGGGAGAGGTGAAGAGAGATGAGGAGAGTAATTAACCAGCGGGGGAAAAGGCCGGCTGGTGAGGGAGAGATGACAGAGACTCTCAGTGGGCAGCAGTGGAGCCTAGTGGTTAGACAGAGTGTGTGAAACAGCAGCTGTCAGGTACGATCTGAGAAACAGGCGCGAGTTCACACAAACGTCTGTGACCAGCACGCTCAAGCTGCTCACACTCAAAACACGTGAAGAGGAAACAAACAGAGGCAGGTTTTCGTTGTTGCTTTTAATAGTGCCGTAACTCATGAAGCAGGTACAGAATTATTTTGTCTTTCTTAAGCTCACATATCAGTAAATATGTTCAAGGGCGAAAAGCACTGTTGGTGCAAAGATTTATATGTTAGCAAACACAAAACGTAATAAAATGTTAACCCTACAGCTAGGATGAAAAATAAAAACCCTGATGCTAAAAGGATCCTTGAGCAGCAACGATGAAGAAGTTTTTATACTATGAACGTGTGCGTGTTCATTTATCCATTAAACCTGCAATAACTGTTGGACAGCAGTAAAAACAACTCTGACAAATCATCAAATTTTAAGTTGATAAGTCGAACTTGTTCTAAAACGGCTGCTTATTTCTTCATCCAGCAGCTACAGAGCAACGTGGCGGCTCATGTGGAGTCATGTATGTGACACCTGATGAATCACAGTAGTGTTTAGCTCTGTGTTTGGTCTCCTCCAGCTCCTGACGGAAATGTCTGGCTCTCTGGCTGCTGAATGCTCAGCTGTGTTCACCAGCTGCTCTCTGACTGTGTCTGTAAGTGGACAGTGGCTGTTTGCAGATGTTTCTCTGAAAACATCTGTCATCCAGGTCACTGTTATCCAAGAGAAGTTGAACTGAGGGCAGCTGGACTTGGTGAGCATGGGAGGGCGTGAAGTCTAAGAAGTGTCCAACTCTGGACTCGCTCATGACTTGAACATTTTTTCTCATTGTTTTAATCTTAAAAATTTTAGCAAGGAATTGTCCGTGTATGGAAGTGCTTGCTCGGAGCAGAATAAGAGGTCGATGAATTTGAGGTTTTTAAACTCTTCGGGGATGTGAAGGAGAGGAATAATAATTTAAGTTGAAAAATAATATCTCTTGGATGAAATGTCTTCAAGTATCTACAACCAAGTCCAGTTGCCCTCAATTCAACTTTTCTTAAACTTCAGGTTTATCAAATCTACTTGAATCAAACAGTCAGTCTTTGGTTGACTGCATGTAGACTTTATAAGGTCAACAGCAGTTGGCAACTATTGCATAAAACATTGTGGTTTGAGTCTGTGGAGGCATGGTACTCCTGAATGGTTAGTAACCATCAACCTTGGACCATAATGTGTCCATGTTAATGTTTCTAAATAACTATTGTAGTCAAAGAGCTGTCCACCTTAAAATGACCCAATAGAGAAAAGAATAAAAGGCTCCTTTACAAACGTGTTACTCACATCTGTCTGTTGAGGAAGTCTTTGTTCGCCAAGACATCAGCTTGTTTTAAGGTTGTACCTTAGAAATGAGTTAATGTTAGACAAAACCTCATTACCTGAGCTATCCATTGGAAAACAGAAGGTGTAGGAGAGATGGGAATGGACTCTGACTGTAAAAGACTGCAGTGCTTCTCTTTGAAATGCAAATAAGATGCTTTGTGAACAAAAAAAAAGCAACTCCAGGTTACATTACAGCTACTCCAGGTGTAGCTGTTAAACATTCCGTCTGTATCGACAGCTGAATCCATCAGAGCCTCGTTTCTCTGTCCGGTCTTTCTTTTTCCTCCTCCTCCTCCTCCTCCTCCTCCACCATCCTCCACCTCATTCCTCCCCATCACCGCACAGAACGAAACCAAAGGCTAATGACTTATTAGACTGCAGGTAATGAGAGCAGGGCAGCTGTTCAACCAGGGGATTAGAAGGTAAAATGATCAGATAACATATGAACTCCAAACTGTGAGTTCATCTCCTTTTATTAAAGAGCAACTGATTCAATAGAGCCGCAGCTGATTTGTCCATAAATTATATTTTTATAATTTACATGCACCATAGACAGAGAGTGTACCTCCACAGCGCATAGTGTATTTCTATTTAAACATCTACCCAAGCCAATGTATCTGTATATACTAATATATTATTTTTACCCTGGAGAGAATTGTGTGTGTCAGAGAAACAAGTCATGGTTCAGGTGTTTTAGATGCCAAATGCAGTATAGACTTTCATGGTGATTAAATAATATCTATCAGCCGTTGTATAATAAGGTCTACCAGCAGGTACACGATGAACATCCCAACACGCTGCGTTTCCCACCAAGTGCTGCCCGTTTCTGGAAGTTATATTCCACTCGTTGCTGTGTTTCTCAGAAAATAACTGGCCTCCAAAACCTCTTATCTGATTCTTCCAGTGATCCCCATGGTCCTCCACTCACCTCCCGCTCACTCTCCACATCATCCCCCTCTTCACTCCGCCTGTACCTGAATGCAGGTCGTCACCATCCCTCCGTAAAATCACATCCATTTCACATCCTCTTCTGCCTCCATTTTGTGGTTGACAAGTGCCACCAAGTAGTTTGAGTATTGATTGTATTACTGTGTCCCTCTCTGAAGGGTGTAAAATGATATAAAAGAAAAACTGTCCTTCAGTGCATCGTATGCATTATATTCTTTTACATGCTCTCGCTTCTCAAAACCCCAGAGAGATCATCTGATAAGTGCAGAAATATGATGCTGCTTCAGATACAAATAGAGAACAAGGTGCAGCTGAGTCAATGTTAACAAGGTAATCCTCTTGTTAGAGTCGGGCATAGACAAAACAATTTCCTTGACATCATGTCTGTGGGTGGTTTGTTACCTACACATACTATATTTTAGTGCACTTTATAGCCCCTTTTCCACTGCATGGCACTGGCTCGACTCACCTTTTTTTGGTTTTCCATTGGGCAAAAGTTGTTGATAGAACTTCATACCTGATATGTTTTTTTGGTATCATCTCCGCTGTGGTTCCAGGTGAGCTGAGGTGATGCCAAAACTCTGCAGACGAGTGACTGTCGGAGAGAATTGTCAGTACTGCGTCATCATTGAAGATGACGTCACAATAGCTTCATGCGTTGTCGCTGTAGTAACGACGCCACATTGAGGGGGTACTGCCTGCACTGAAAAGCGAGTAGAGTCGAGTTGTTTGTCTCCTTTCTGTTTTCAACATAACATTGCTCCTGTGCACAAAGCCACCTCCATAAAGAAATGCTCCTCTCAGTTTGCTGTGGAAGAACTTGACTGGTCTGCACAGACCCCCTGACCTCAACCCCATCCAAAACCGATGGGATGAACTGGACCGCAGCCCTTGAACCAGACTTGAAGGGTTCAACATGCTTGAAATGAACCAAGTGGTGCGATGTTTTATCCATCCACACCCAAAAAGCAAGAGTGTTTCCAGCGGTTCTGAATGGCCACACTGTCACAGCCTCCTCTTGGCTGCATCTCACTGCCTTATCTCTCTCTCTCTCTCTCTCTCTCTCTCTCTGTCTGTCTGTCTCGCTCTCTCTCTCTCTCTCTCGTGTCTTTGAAGTCTGTACAAAATGAGGATAACAAAAGAACACCCTCATGCACTTACTGGGTGCAGTTATAAAAGTCAGAAACATATCTTTCAAACCCGAGTGTCACTGATCAGCCCCGAGGCGTCTCGGGAAGCGTGAGGAGAATGGACAGAGGCACCAACGTCTTTGTGTTGTTGAGTGGTCTGAGCACCAGAGAAAGTAAATACATCTCCACAAACAGACAGGTTCTTAATGTCTCGGCTGCAATTACAGGATCTGCAATCAACTTTGTTTTGACTTTTAGACCCTTTAACCTGACAGAATGACATGTTTTCAAAAACCCTCCAATAAATGAGCCGTGGGTCCATGTGACTTTTGTTTACAAGCACTTCTTCATTTTTAATTGGAGACAGAGAAGTTAAATACAAGAAATACAACAAAACTTGGGAAAAAAAAGTCCTTGGTTGGGTCGACTCTGTTTTAAGTTGTTGAGTGTAATGAGGTTGGTGGTATAAAACATAATAAAGCCAATATTATTCATAGATTATTCTCATGCTTTTAGAGTTAGATTGAGGCTATCTATAATTACACCTCCCAGAAAATAATTGGGTTTCTGTTCGTCAAACCAATTAAAAGTGCATCAATAAATTAAGCTTTTTAATGGCCTGTGTGAATCCCCTTTCCTGTTTGGCTTTGACTCTGTCATTGTGTTTTTTTTGTACGTGACAACGATCACTGATCACTGCTCTTAATTAACGTGACAGAGGGAATAAACATTATTCTGTTCATCATGTGCAGAGTTGAAGTTACTCAGGGTGATAAACACACCCCACCTGCCTCCACTCACCTCGCAGCACATGAGGAATCAGCTCCAATCAGAAAAATGACATTAATCAGTCAAACTCTACTAATTAAAATGAGGTCAATAACTTCTCCTCCTCGTCACTGCAGGAAATCAGCGACACAGAGATCCTGGAGCTTACCCACAGTGCACTGGGGCGCATGACGGTGATCCGACAGATCTTCCCCTTGTGGAAGGACAGCAGCACCCGCTGTATGAGACACAACCACCGGATCTCCTCGCTGCTGTGCGACCCGCAGGAAGGATACCTGCAGAACCTGGAGGTAAATGAATGAATCTTTACGATCAATGCTTCGCTGATTGATAAACGTTTGCTGCTCTCAGCATCCGTTACTGACGGAGGCCGAAGGACTTCCCTTCATTTGAAAGTGATCACTACCTGGGAATATATCACTGTTTTCCTGAGGCAAAGATTAAAGTTTAGCTTTCGACACAAAACTGCAGATAATTAATCATAGCGAGGTTTTCATTCTTCATTTCTTTTTGACATTTGTTCAATGTGTGGTGATATTTTTAGTAGAACAACATTCCTCTTAAAACTCAGCAGCAGCTGTGAAGTGGAAACAATGGAGTGCCAGCTATGCTCTATGTTTCTACATATTCTTTCAGCTGTGATCACATGAGAGGAGCTTAACGTAAGGCTGGTCTTGTGTCTGCGGTGTTTTGTTGGTTTTAGGATCATGGCTGTTGGAAGTTTAGCTGCTCTGCTCTCTGTGTTAAAGATGGAGGCCTTCATATCTGGTTAAGACACTTGTTGAATCAGCTGCATACATTCTCTTACGATTCTTACAGTCCATGTTGGACTCTAGCATCTAGCTACAATAGGTTTCCTCTATTGTTCAGTGCATGTGATGATTTTCAATAGATCTTCGATAGACGATGTACAGACACACACAGATTCCAACAGGAGCAGATTTTAGCAAGGATTCCGGGGAAATTTTGAGATGCTATTTCCAACCCTCCTAATGATAAAATGAGTGTCTTTCTGACGCCAAAGCTCGGTGTGTTACTGTGGTTTCCGTCTCCGGGATAACCCAGACAGGGTGAATTCAGGCCACAACGGGCCTGAATTCACCCATAAACGAACATGCACCGGTGAGACATTTGCATGGCCGCGGGGTGTAACATTAACATGCTTTCCCAGTCTCTAAGCTCCTGTGGAGAGGAAGTCAGATCAACCTACCAACCACTTGTTTGATGTGGGGAGCTGCATGACTACACTGTCGGGATCTGGGAGGTGTACTCGTTGGCCCCTCTGCGGGCCTCTGCCACCCATGGTTATCACTGACGTTTAATGTATCTCTGCAGAAATACCACTCCAGTCTGAGTCCTGACTGATGAGGTTTAGGGTGGAAAATGCAGACAATTTGGGAGCAACCTATGCGACCACTTGTGTCTCCACATCTCAGAGACAGAAATGTTTCAGCTGATTGCAGTAAAGGGCAAACAATATGGAATTTGTTGAAAGGTTCTTGGACTCCAGTAAAAGATCAAGGGGGAATATTTGTAATAAATCATCACCTCAGGTCGGGAACTTGTGTTCCCAAACTAACTTTATTCAGAATAATCTTTGTCCTTCAATTAATAAAACATGTTCTCAAATCACCTCTCTGTCTCGGGGAGGACAGAAAAAATCTTCACCAAAGAACGACAAAAGATGTGTTTAACAGACAAACACAGAGGGTCACACAGTGTATCTCATTCCTCTGTCAAAATGGTCCATAATCAGAGTGATGGTGGAGGGAAAGAATGAAAGCTTTAGGGAATTAATTAAGTAGTTTTAGGGCACAATTTAGTAATTCAAAGGTATGAATTATTATTCTGAAGGGACAAATTAAGTCATTGGAGTGTAGAAATTATTAAAATATGGGACAAAGGAAAAACTGAGTCATTTGAGGACAGAAATTACATATTACAGGGAAAGATTTCTCTAAACTTTATCTTTAATACTTCACCTGAGGTGAATCTCCCTGATTTGACCCATCCTAATAATCCAGGGGCACTGGGCCCACATGGTGCCAGACTCCAGGTCAGAGGTCGGTGCTTTGGTCAATGACATTGGCAGGAGTTTCCAAATCAATGATGCGCATCCATAAATTCATGAGTGCATTCATGAATCCACCCTCCCATACAAGCACAGTACACATACAGTAGACTGAGCACACCGAGGCCGTCAAAGCAAATCTCAGTGTTCAAATATCAGCTGAATGTTAAATGAGGACACACAAAGTCTCAGACGCTCCAGCAGTGTCACAGAGCAGGAGGGAGACCGGCTGATCCTGGAGCAGCGTGAGGTCTGAAGACACTGCCATGCCTCAAAACAAGCACTAGGAGGCAGAGGGACAAAGTAATACATCTCATGGTCATGAATGTATTTAATTAAAACACAGCACTAATTCAAATGTCACAGTATTTATAGCTAATCATGAGATGAGATCACTGTCTACGTGTGCTGTAGGCTCAGTGTTAAAACCTCAGGGCAGCTGCTGAACATAAACAGAACAGCTGTTGTCTCATATTAAAAATGGCAAATTTTTCTAGCAATATAGTAAATCACATTGCTGTCACATCAGTGTCATATTTCAGGCTTTTAGAACTCAGACTTAGAATAGGTTCGGGGCTTTGGCTTTCCACTTTGCACCATTTTTGCTCAGTTGACCTTTGACTAGAGGCTTTGCCCCCATTTGATACAGGCAAGGAGTCGGTATCCTCACCAGTTGCTGATCCATGTAGCATGTCCTTGCAGTGCAGTGTAGCAAGTTAGCCCAGGTTTTAGGATACTGTATTAAAATTAAAATATGACACTAAACAGTGTAGCTGCTTTTTTTCACCACTATAGGCCTGTGGAAATGAATTTACTAGTAAATAGTTGTTTATTTCCACATGTAGCAGCCACAGATCAGCATGATGATCCATGCGTTGTGGTGTCTGTGTTTGCCTGATGAATCTCAGTTTTAGCTCAGTGTTTGGTCTCCGCCAGCTCCTGAGGGAAACATCTAGCTCATTAGCTGCTAAACGCTCCGCTGCAGGAAAAGTCTGAGTTGTGATGTGCTGTCGCCTCACAGAAATTCTTGTGTGGCTTTTAGCCGTCAGTAGTTGTTTATGAACATGCAGCCACAACACTGCTGCTGACTTTATTTATCAGTGTTGAGTTTGTGTCATGACTAATATCTACAATGAAATCTAATTGGACTCATTCCAGTGAATTCCATTTAGTCACATTTAGTCTGTGGTAGCAGTTGACACACAGAGGACACCAATAAACACTGTCACATCACGCACTAAGACATTTTCCCCCACACACACACACACACACACACAAACTCCACTGGAGTATTATTTCCGGTTATGAAATATCACAGTGATGTGTGGTTGACATTTAAAATCAGCAAACAGAACAATTACTGTAATTCATGCTGACAAATGTTTGTTTTTTTTCTGTCTCGTCTTGACATTTGTGTTGATGAGTGTAGTTTTCTACATGTGTGACATCAGAGCGGCGTGAACCCACAGAGACAGCACTAAGGTCACACACTCTCTATCTCGCCCCGTTTCATCTCTGCATCTTTAATCTTTAATTCTGCTCCTCTTTCTCATGTTCTTATCTCAGTTTCTCACTCTCTCTTTTTCCATGTGTTAAAAAACTTCCTCCCCCCCCTTTCCGTCTCTTGTCTTGTTGCCTCTAGCCTCTTTTGGCCTTTACCTTCTTTTAATTTCCTCCTTCTTTCTCTCCTCCTTTTGTCTTTTCTCTCTTCCTCCCCTTTAACCTTCTTAATGACTTGTGATAATTGAAACTGCTCTGGTTTCATTCTGTTTCTTTTTACACTGAATGTCACTTTTGTTTGTTGTTTGTCTATTTGCATGCGTTTGCCTTGTCTTTGTCTTTTCAGTTCATTTGTTTTTCCTTCTTCTTTTTCTTCCCGCTCATATTTTTCCCTCTCCTCCCTCCGCCTGATTATTTTTTTAACAGTCTGTTCTCCTTCCCATCCTCATATTTCTTTCTTCCTTCCTCACCCATCCTCACTTTGTCTCTTCTCTTCCTTCTCAAAATCACCCACTACATAAAAATCTTCACCTGGAGTCGGTCTTTTCATCCTTGACCTCTGGAGAACCTCTCTGTCCTCACCTGAAACCCTCTGGGAGGCAGGTAGAAGAGGATGTTTGTCTCAATAATTCATGCAAAAGAAGTTTAAGTGTTCATGGAAGTCGCCCCCAAAAGCCCTAATCTTTCTCCCTGATGAAGGACAGAGTGAGCGTCCACCCGTCAAACACTGTCAGCGTGAGCAGGGTCACTCTGTGTCAGTAAAGCAAGTGGGAATGCTGCTGCTTTAAAGCTGCAGTCAAAAGTACGGGAGAAGGTTTCTGAAATGTCAACTGAATAAAACGTGAATAAGTTCACGTTACCACCAACTACCTGCATGTTGCTCAGGAGGACGTGAGCAGACGACATCACTTATTAGGAACCAGTATCTCTGATTAATTAAGACATTTTGTCGCTGCTACACATCTAAATTGGCATTAGAGGTTTATTTAATGTAGCCTATTAATGTGTCTTGTCTGATCCGCCTGTACCCAGGATTACAGCTTAGCTTCAAGACTTCCGCTCCTGCTTTATTCTGCGTGCTTGTGGTCTTTTACCACAGATTACTGTTTGAATCGACATCCTTGGATTTTTCGACTTGTCACATACAGAATGTCTGAACCTGAGTTCATCAATGCTTTGTAACAGTGAACTACAGCAGGACATGAATGTTTGCCACTGAGTGTCATTTCACCCTGTTGACTCAGTCAGTGTTACTGCTGACAGACATTAGTGTCACTTTATAGACTGTATCTGATTGTCAGCAGGAGACAAGTGAGCGCAACATTTGATCTGAAGGAAATTAGAGCTGTTATTGTTAGTACTGATGATGTTGTAGCCACAGGCCTTAATTCTGCACAAACACCTCAACACAAAGAATAGATCTGCCCTCACTCTCAGTGTTACCATCATAAGTAGCAGCTCATGTAAAGTCCAGCCTCAATCAAAGCTCTCCCACGCTTTACTATAGAGAAGACAAGACATGATGAATATCACAGATTTATCTTTTGGCTAAATTAATTGTGTATTAACATATAATTGTGTTTAGATTCCAATATGCAATATAATATATAATATATGATGCAATATTCTGATTTTTTTTTTTAATGATGAAATTAATTAATTTAAAATCTAAAAATGCGCTACTTTATGTCTTCACCACTCTGCACCATCTGATTGGTTACACGTCATCACGAGTAATAGCCTATCACTGAAGGCTGCTGTGTACACAGACTGTCTCAGACTCGAGCTGCTCCGGTTAATGAGCGGAGCTGTGTGTGGAAGGTAAGACAGCAGACATCACTGAAGATGTAACAAACAGCTCAGTCCTCTACACTGAAGTTACGACAACACCACACTCTGATGAACAAGTTCGTCTGTTGGCTCAAGACACACCGAGAGAGGGAGAGAGAGAGAGAAGCTAGCGCTAACTGCTAAGCTAAAGTAACTAGCAGATCTGAACAGCATGTAAACAACTGACGAGTCGGTGAAAGTCGCCAAAAGCAGCAGAGAGCTCTGAGTGCTGGAGCGGAAACTAGTGTAAGTTTAAATGTACAGCAGGTAGTTAGTCACTGTGATGAAGAAAACAGCAACATTAACGGTGCTCAGACAGAGCAGCGGTAAACGCTACAGAAACTCCAGAGACGAAATGAGACACTACAGTGACTGCAGCATGTCAGCACATGAACTGTCACTAACTACTGATGCTGAAAAGACATTTTACTGCAGTAGAAGTAAAGTCAGGGAGTAAAAATGTTCTCAGATAAAAGCACATACTAAGTCAGTTAAATGTCTCTGAGCAAAGTTGCTGTGTTACATTTTTAGAAGGCTAGGGGTAAATGTTATATTGTGATTAACCAATTAATTCTACTCAGGCACTACAACTGATAATTACTAATATACATTCAGTGGGCAGTTTAAAACTGATGTAGAGTAATACAACAGTCCTGCAGTAAATCCTTTTTTCATGAAGGTTGTAATGTTCAATTTGTAATAAAATAGTTAGAGAGTTGTTGATTCAACTGTATGATAATTATGGAGGAGGTAGTGTGTGTAGCTGTATTACATTATACAGAGGTGTTTGTGTTATTTAGCCTACCTTCAGTGATATCTTTGGGGTGGACAAAATAATACAAACACCTGGACACCACGACGAGTGTCCTCATGTAGCAGTATTGGTGTGTGTTTGCATATTGGTTTCAAATATCGGTTATCGGCCTTCTTGATTACTAATAATCACTATCGATATTGGCCCTGAAAAAAAACATATTGTTCCATCCCAAGTACATATATGTGTTTGTGTGTCTCAGTTGCACTGTGAAATCTTGAATTTGTCCTTTACATTTTCCCCCCACTGTCTTCATGTGTGTCATTGATGTCACTTCAAATAACATCATCGAACACGTAAGCACAACCAGTTAGGAAAAGTGTAGTGTAGGTTTACATCAGCTACATGCACCATGTATCAAGAAATCAATTTAATTAATTTAATTAACAAACAAGCAACAAACCTGGTAAAGACTGTGGATTACTGGATTCCAGTTTAATACACTGGATATTATAGTAGCAATAGTATTTCTAAAAGTGTATGGAGAGTTGTGAAACTTTACATCAGTGTATGTGTGTCGATTTGTGAATCTGTGCAAGAATCTGTAAACATGTATTCAGATTTGCTGGTGCACTGATATGTATTAATGCGTAAAATAAAGTTTCAATGTGCACACAGATCTATGTAAGTAAGATTTGTACATATGTAAAAGAATCTGCAAATATATGGACTCAGAAAACTTAACTGAATGTGAATGCCTTTTGCTGCAGGCATCAAACACACCACACACTCTTTCTGTCTCCAGTCATGCACAGTTATATTGATTTGAATGCTTTCATGTCAGGAAATCAATATTTAACATGAATCTCTGTTTTTGATACCAGACATAAAAAATATCTGAATGTATTTATCTTTAACTTGTGTCTCCCCTCCTCTCTCCAGGTGTCCAACCTCTACCTGTACGACAGCGTGCTGATGCTGGCCAATGCCTTCTACAGGAAGTTGGAGGACAGGAAGTGGCACAGTATGGCCAGCCTCAACTGCATCAGGAAGTCCACCAAGCCCTGGAACGGAGGCTGGTCCATGCTTGAGACCATCCAGAAGGTACTGAGGCTTTCTGACAATAAACCCACATGCACGCACGCACACACACATCTCCATTTATCTGTTAAGCAACAGCAACAAACCTGATCCACCTTAATTATTTGATGAAATCCCTATGTTGTGATTAATTTGTGGTTACACAGATATTTCATTTGTGTTCAGCGTGTAACTGAGTTTTGTATTTTTGGAATCACAAGCAAAAATATGTTTGAAAATTAGGCTATTGTTGATTGAAATGAAGCTCAATCTAATAACAGTCCATCAAACACTACACCCTTAAACTCACTATTTTGAAGCGCTGTAATGATTCTTATTTTCAAGGCTGCAGAACTGATTAACAGCTTGAATGTGATCGTTTGTTAATTGACCGAATTGCCTTGATCTCCTCTGAAGTATTTAAACAGACTCAATATAGCTTTAAATGGTATATGTTCTTTTCCATTAAAGATTTGATTGAAACAACCTTTGAAAACTGAGGAGTGCATAAGGAGGAGAGCATGAAAGTATAATTAGATTTATGTACCAAGCTTAACAAAATGTTTCTTAAAAAAGCGTGAAACACCATTGGTGAAACATGAAAGAAGAACGCCATTCAGCCTAAACTCTGATGTACATCATACAACCTGAAGTCTGATTCTCAGTCTAATTGGTGAAAGATGCTTTTCAGATGTACTGATGAGTCCCCCAGAGCTTGAATAGTTTAATAGTAAAAAACAACAGTTCGTTTCTTTGACGCATCTCACAGTAACTCTCACGGTGAGCTTGTTAGCGATCTTTCCTTCTCCCTGGCTCCTGTTTAATATGCACACTGAGGTGAACCTGGTGCAGCAAAGCCCTGATACCTTTAATAATTGCAGGGTTTTGATACAAGTGTCAGTTCCTCTGTGATATTGACAGAAGTACACAACATTCGAGTTAATGAAAATCACTGCTACAGTAACTTCTGTCAGTGCCTTCAGCTTTTAGATCATGAAATTATGACTGAAAATACAACAGAGCATTGTGGCATTTTTCTTTTCTTTTTCTCCTGTTAAATTTATTTTTGCACATTTTAGCCTGTTGACAGTTTTATTTGAAAAGTAGTGCTTGAAATTTACCCTAAATGTTCATTACATTGCTTGGCTGTGTTGATTGAGCTTACAGGAATGACAAATGAGCAGCAACAAAGATGCAGTTGTACTGAAATCAGACTATATGATATCTGCTGATAACTGCCCAACCTGACAGATTTGAGCTTTTTGTCCCGTGTGTTGTCACAGTGATAACGGATGCGGCATCTGGGACGCCTCCCAACCTCTACTACATGCTCTGTGATGTTTAACAATAGAAGCGCAGAGCATCTTCAACTGTAAACACTGAGACTGTGTTAAAACAATGCAAAGGTTTAGTGTGTTAGTGTGGTTGTGTTGCTTCAGGTAGGAGTGAGACAATGAAATACAATCCAGCATAACAGATGCATTAATCTGAAGGTTTATCAGAGGCTAAAACGCTGCATGGCGGATTATAACACTTTGAAAAAGGGTTTTATAATGCTGGAATATTATAACAATAACATTTATTCCATAATTTTTTTTTTTTATCGTAACAATCCTGTGGTAGATGGTACAGCCTTTTCAGAAAATGAAAAATGTTTAAGATTTTAGTTTAAGGTACCAAAGTTTTGAAACAGTATTCTTTGAATGCACCTCTGTGACCATAAAACCTTCCTGTTTTAACTCTGAAAGCTTCTTTTTCAGAGAATCATTTATACAGTCAGAATTTCCTATAGGCTGTTTCCGTTGAGCTTGAACAACATGTCCATCATTGCTGCTGTATCTCTGACTACTGAGGAGATGGAAAATGACTTTGAGAGAGGAAGACAAACTCAGAGTGAAAAATGGCAGGAGCAAACCACTTTCACCTCTTAACTTTTTTGTCTGGTACATCACAAGATGTAACCTTCCTCACTTCTTTCCTCCTACAAGTGTGTGTGTATAAAAGAGTGTGTATTGAGGTGGCAGCCCAAATGAAAGTACTTGAGATATGACTTCACATGAAAAGAGTGCTCCATACTCGCAATGCAAAGCACTTTTGACAGTTGCTCACCTGTGCGGTGTTACTCGGTACTGTCTACCAACACTTACCATGTTAATATAGAATTTGGGTGGAGTATCACTTTAATATCTAACTAAAACAGTTTGCCAAGAGAACATAAAATAAAAATTAAAACACACATTATAGCAAACACATTGCTACATTTACACTAAGGTTCCTACTGCACTGAAGCTTAGTAATGTCCTTCACTTGTAAGTTGCTTTGGATAAAAGCGTCTGCAAAAGGAGTAAATGTAAATATTTTATTCTATTCAGAATGATTTGAATTGAAAGCTAATGATTCAGTTCAGCAGCTAAAGCAGTTTGCTCCAAGTTAGCTAACAGTTAAGTTTAATGACTAAAACATTAGGTTCAGGTTAGTTATAAGTTTAGCCACTTGAACAGTGTTTTATGTTAGCTAACGGCTCAGTGCGGAAGCTAAAACAGTTTAGTTTAGGATAACTCATGGCTTAATTTAACAGTTAAAACTGTTTGGTTCACTTTAGCTAACAGTTAAGTTTATTTGCTAAAACAATGTGGTTTAAGATAGCTAAAGGTTTAAACACTTATTGTTGTTTTAGAGTTTTAGGATAAGGATAAGTCTTGTTTCAGAGTTCAGATTACCAGCTAAAACTGTTTTGTTCTGGTGAAATAATGGTTCTGTTTAGGAGCATAAACATTCAGGCTCAGGTTAGCTAACCAGTTTAGCAGGGTTAGGGTTAGGTTAGGTTAGGTTAGGGGGTATAGGTTAGGCAAAGGTGCTTTTTAGCTTTTAAAACAATTTGGTACAGGTTATCTGATTGTTAGCTATGTTTAGCTAACATTATCACTAACATTATAACAATTGAGCAGGTAGAACAATTTGCTTCATCTTAGCTAATAGTCCAGCTAAGAGCTCAAACAGCATAGTCAGGGTATGCTAACTGTTAGATTTCACAGCTAAGACAAAGTAGTTTAGCTAAGTACTCTTTTTAACATTATATATTATTTGTATGTTGTATGCTAAATCAAAAGTAGAGCAATATATTATATTAATATAATTATAATATATATTATAATTACAGAGTCCATAAAGCAACACTCTGTTGTAAAAATATTCAGAGTGATGCATTAAATTTATATTTCTTTATTACTGAAAGACAGATGGAGGACTAGAGGCATCACTGACTTTGTAGCAAGCTGCTCGCAAACCAAAACAAACATGAAACATTATTCTCCTCCAGGTGACAATGACTGCGACCTTTGCAGCTGACAGAGGAACATTTAGTTTGTTGGCGTGTGTTGATGGGTGTCTTTAGTCTTGCTTTACAATCCAACATGAACTGATGGAAGCCATGAAGCGACATTTCATCTCTGGCCTTTCAGTGGGGTGGCACTGCAGTCAGGAGCTGCGCTCCAGTGATATTTTATATGAGATCTCATACATTTCTAACCATTCTTTACTACTGTATATTCTGCATAAAAGCCATGGGAGCAATCAACAAGGGAGCCAGCAAGCAGAGATCAATGATCATGAATTAATAAAGCTGATCATTAATTTATAAATTGATTAATTAGGTATCTATATCGGTTCTTGTCCTCCCCTGAGCTGATGGTTTCCATGGTGATTTCTGTGTGTTGAGTGCACTTCATGACCCTGTTGGGATTGCCAATTTAACATCAATATCACACAGCTTAGCAGTTCACAAAGCACCATGGGACGCAGCGTGATACTAAAGATACATGGAGGATGGCAGGAGCAGTTTCAAAGGGGTAAAAATGCTACATGAGCCAGACTGCGATGAGGCTGTTTGTCTTCTGTGTTTTCCAGATTTTCTCTCTCTTTCTGTGCATGCTTCTTTCGTTCGCAATTTCCTTACCCATCTCTTCTCTTCTCGCACTTCTCTTCCACTCTTCCTCGTATAATTTTTCCCTCCATCACTCCCTTTGACCTCTTTTAATGACTCCTCAATGTCGTTCTCCCTTCATCCTCCCTCCCTCCATCTCACTGTCACTTCATTATATTTTATCTGCATGAACATTAAACTTAACAATACTGACAAGGCCTCTTTTATTATGGATTAATGATAAAAAAACATGCATTTCAATGAAGTAGAAGTTAATGTCTGCTTATTCCTTTTCACTGGTATGTATTTCCTACAATATGTTGCACTCAGTATATGTCTTGGTGCAGCTTTAAAAAACAAATTTTAGGGGTTCTGTTAAAAAAAAGTTTGTGTTGATAAATATTATCATATATCAAATGAACAGGGTCCAGATTGAGATAACATTTTTCTTTTGTATATCAGTATCAACAACAAAGATCCACTATTGGTTGAGCTTTTAAACTTTCCAAACTCCTTTTATCCTCCATGATTTTCACATCGTTCCACCTATTTCTCTCTCTCTCTCTCTCTCTCTCTCTCTCTGTATCTGGTGATTCCTCCAGGGCAACATCACAGGTCTGACAGGTACGATGGATTTTAAGGACAGCGGCTCCAACTCCCACGTCCAGTTTGAGATCCTTGGCTCCAGCTTCAGTGAGACCTTCGGCAAGGACATCAAGAGGGTGAGTACACAGAGTTTCACTTTAAATGAATGAACTGGACGTGAACGGTGCAGAGGGCCACATCGCCTATGTGTCAAACCCAAAAAGCTGCAGAGTGAACTGACATTTTGTCACCACTCAGACGATACTGAGTATTCAAGTTTTCATAAAAAAATTTCTGGCAGATTATGTATGAATGTTGTCACAATATAAGGAAATAGATTTAGATCAATAGAGTTGAAAGGTTATTAACAGTCATAAGGTGGGTTAACTAAATTATTGGTCGCTGTAAGTCCTGCTTTGTCTGCCCAGTACTTCAGCACTGGAACAAGAGCAGGATTGCAGTCATACACCAACATACACCAGACTTCATAGAGGAACAAAAATCTAAATTAATAGTAAATGTTCCGGATCTGCCCCAAATTTGAATGGGCTCTTCCCTGACTCCTGATCCAGTTTGGTGCAAACCGGTTCAGTGCTTTATACAGAAATCCTGCTGACAAATAAACACACATGAAGATATAACCTCCTTGGCTGCAATAATAACATTTTAGCTAACGCTGGTAGCTAGTAAATGTTCGCAAGCCAGCCCTCATAAACGGACTATAATATTAAACGTTAAGCTACAGGCTCAAAATTGAAGTACATAATATATTTTTTATATGGCAGTTTAATATATCTTAACTGTAACCATGTTTAAGATCCTTTTCTGTCTGACTCTTGAGTGGTGATGTCACCAAACCAATGAAAAAAACTCTTTTGAGTCACTCTGAATTATTTGAAAAGTTGTTTCAGATTTCTGTAACCAGACAAACCATCTAACACAGTTTTATTGACTGTTACAGAAACTTTTGTGCCTGGAGTGACTGCCAGCAGCTCAGTCTGACACACATTTCAAACTCACACTTACACATGAACACACACTGTCGCACATTCCTTCTCTACACATTCTCTCTCTGTCTCACATTCCTTCACACATAAACACACACAGTCTCTCACTGACACACATGCATTTACATTACACCTTCTCTCTTAAACATGAAATCATGCCCTCACTCTAAGGTTCCCACGCTAACATACTCACACACACATATTCATTTCAAACATACTTTGAAAACACACTCACTTTCACTCATTTTTGAACTTGTATTCAGAGCCTAATATTCATGGCTAATCTGTTAGGGGAAACTGCAGTATACAAAACTCAGGAACCCAAACACACACACACACACATACACACACACACACACACACACACACAAGCACACAAGCACACAAACTCCCCTCTGTGTATTTGTTCAGTGCAGTGTTAGCCTGACAGCACTGCCTTGTACTGTACAGAGGAGCTGTGGCTGCAGGCTGTTGTTGTTGTCGATTGCAGTTGAAAGTCATCAGTCATCATGCCAGCTGTGTTCAAGTGGCACAGACCACCCCCAGCCAGGGGGTGCTGAGGGGGATTAAAACTCAGATTTCCTAAAGTCCTGGTAATGGCCTTTGGTTGGTTCATTAAACGTTCAGCAGCCTGCAATATTAAATAGTATTATGAGGGATAGCTAAGATAACTGGAGGGATTGGGTGGTAGTAAAGGAAGTGATGTCTTATTTTCCCTTTCAAAATGTTAAGTTGCAGTCTGCATTTACTGAATAAACATGGAGTGTTTTACTCCCTGTGGTGCTGACTCTACCTTTATATTTTCCTGTATTAGTCAAGTAAATAAACTCAAATCTTCCATCATAGCCTCTCGGAGTTGGTAGAACTAATTAAGGGTTTGCTGCGGTGATTCAGGGTGGTGTTTGCAGTAGTCATAGAGGTACGACTTGTAGTGGTAGCAGTAGTAGCAGTGCTGGAGCAGCTGAGCATGACCGTGATGGAGTCTTTAAAATGCTGTCAACGTTGACATCAGGAGACTGATGGTTTTATGAATAAATGCTTTGTATTTAATAATAAATCAAAATAAAGCAGGTTTGTCAAGGTATGAGGCTGTGGCTATTACCTAGAAGTGTTACCTACTAGTGCAGACCTTCAACATATTTATCTGAGTTTGCTCTCAAGAAAGCGTTACATATATTGTTTTTGTTAATGATGATAATTATGAATACAGCATTTACAAGGTTTACAAAGGTGGGTATTAAAATAAGATGAGGAAGATCGTGTACTTTAAGCCTGAATAATATAAGGGAATTTACATTACAACCACTCATTTCGTCCCACTCGGTGTTATTTCCAGGATCATGTACAGTACTGTAGGATACCCCCAGGCCTGCTGTTAATATTGTTTGTACATGATGCTGTGATGTAGAGTTGTGAAGTGGGAGCAGTGGTTTCGAGTGTCCAGGTTTCAGGACTTCTGGGTTCATTTCCTCATAGACAGTTTTATGTGACTGGCAAAGTTTGTGAGTCATCAGCGCTAAACATGGACAACTGTCTTTTAAAAAATGTGGTGGTTTGATAAAATGTCGAAGGTACAAGACTATGTGGGTTTTACGAAAATGTGCCCATCGCTTTCTGTGCCCTCCACTTTTATAGGTTATAGGTTGATTTTCAGACATAAAAGTCTCTCAGACCTCTGTGACCCTCCATCAGTTGATACATTAAATGTTGATACACTCATCGACCGGATGATTGAATTTCTTCATACGTTGTTTCTTCCATCATCCATCCATCCATTTTCTGACGCTTATCTGGGGTCGGGGTCACGATGGCAGCAGGTCAAGCGAAGTAATACAGACGTACTTCTCCCCAGTAACGTTTTCCAGCTCCTCCTGGGGGATCCTGAGTTGTTCCCAGTCCAGATGGGATATATTATCTCCTCATTGTCTTCTGGTTCTACCTTGGGCCAACCTACCAGTTAGACATGCCCAGAAGACCTCAGTGGAAGTCGGTCAGGAGATATCTGAACCAGATGCCCAAACCATCTCAACTGCCCCCCCCCCCCCCCCGGACATCCAGGCTCCTTACCCCATGTAAGACTGAGCCCAGACACCCTGCAGAGGCGACTCATTTAAAACTGCTTGTATCTGCAGTCTCGTTCTTTTGTTCCCTACCCAGCGCTCATGACCATAGATGCGGGTTCAACGACAACATATCTCCTGGGTCGTACCGTCATCAGTGCCTCATGGGAGCTGTAGCTGTTGAGCAGGCAAATGTCTTCCTCTGTGAATGAACACAGTCATCATTCATGCAGCAGCGATCTCAATCAGTCCTCACCTCATTAATTCTTCCAATCACTGAAAATGCTGTTTAACCATGTTGCGTTAACCTTGATTAGCAGCATCCCAGTTTAGTTCCGCGAACACGCGTCCCTTTCCATGAAACCAGTCAATATTTAACAGGATGAACGAGGTTTTAATTAATGCTCTAAAGAGTTTTTAAGTCGTCTGCCTATGAATATAAAGTACTATATGTAAGTGCTATCTCACACTAGATGAATCAATACAGAGCAGCTGATACAGTTAAACAATATGCATGGGATCTCTGAGTTTCAGTTGTCACCTTGACCTTGGTGGTGATGTGCTGTAAGTGTTTGAGATATTTTTTTCCATTCTCACTGATTGAACAGATCAGATTGTCATGTACTATTTTATATGGTTTTATGTTGTGTGGAATAATAATGTTTTCAAGACTGTGCTATGGAACATGGTCCTGCCTTGTACCGCAGCGTGAAGGAGGGTTCAGAGAGGCTGTAGAATATAAAGAAGGTCACTTTTCATAACCACCTATGAAATCAAGGTCAGACTTTTTTGTTTCTTTATTGTTGTTGAAAGGAAAGGAAAGGTAAGGAAGGAAGAGGAAAGCAAGTAAAGGAAAGGAAAGAAAAGGAAACAAAAGGAAAGGAAAGGGAAAGGAGAAGTAAATGAAAAAGCTGCAGTGAAAAGTAGGAAAGGGCAGAATAGACAAGTGAAAAAGACAGGGAAAGAAAAAGAAAACGAGTAAAAAGAAATAAGGACAGTGATTAGGAATATGATGAAGGGCTACAATCTAAAAAAAAAAGAAAAGTTATTTAAAGAATTCTAAGATTGAAACGGCCGCCTGTGCAATTAAAGAAAGAACGATTTTTCCTCATAAAAGAAACAGTTTACAGATGGGTGCAGGTGATGTTTCTCATTTTCAGTCGAAATGAAAATCGAAATTGAATTGAGTGGCTGATCGCTCCACTCCGCTCAGATCAGATTTTTGATTTGTGTTGAAAACAAGCGCCACCATCTCGCCGTGTCCACTGATCTGTCTCCATGTTTTAGTAAAAGGATGACTATGAGATACAAGATGCAGTCATTTGGTTCCATTCACCGGATACATGTGAATTATTTCATGTGTACTGAGTTTACAAGCAGTCGTAACAATTGAGATGATTTAGCAGCTTGCAGGTACTGTGTGTCAGTGTAAGGGCACACACACACACACACACACATATACACGTACACAAACACATACAGAGCAGTTGCTGCAGTAATGAAGATTTAATCACCTGGCTTCTCATTCTGAGTTATGAGTCCCCCTGTGTTACATAATGGCCATTAGGAGGACATAGGGCCATAGATCTCTCTCTCTCTCTCTCTCTCTCTCTCTCTCTCACACACACACACACACACACACACACACACACACACACACACACACACACAAATGCATATTGCTATTACCCCCCCACATGCACCATGACGTATCTCCAATACAAACACACACACACACACACACACTCACACAGACCTCCCAGTTATTAGTCCTCTCACATACTCACAAATGAGACATATTATTATTAACATGCAGTGCATGTGGGATCCCTTGTGTACTGTTAAGTGCCTTCATACACAGCCTGCACACAGTATTCATCAACATATATCTGGATCGATATATATATTTATATCAGTACATAAATGAGTGCATGTGTCAGCTGTAAACAACACAAACAATATTTGTACTAAAACAGGCTTTTTTCTTCTAACTAGAGTCTTGTATCTTTTTCTAAAGGCGACCTAGGGGGGGGGGTCAACATTATATCTTGAAAATAATCAAAACCAGGA